TTTTTTTTTGAGACACAGTCTCTCTCTGTTGCCTAGGTTGTGCTGTGGCATCAACCACAGTAACCTCAAACTCCTGGGCTCAAGCAATCCAGTATAAGAGTTTACATGACTCAGTCTCTTGACAAGCCAAGACTATAGGGACCTGCTACAACACCTGGCTAATTTTTCTACTTTTAGTAAAGACAGCATCTCCCTGTTGTTCAGGCTGGTCTTGAACTCCTGAGCTCAAGGGATCCACCTAACTCGGTTTCCCAGAATGCTAGGATTAGAGGAGTGAGCCACCATGACCAGTTGATTTTTTTTTTTTTTTTTGAGACAGAATCTCATTCTGTCACCCTCAGTACAGTGCCATGGCATCACAGCTCACAGCAATCTCCAGCTCTTGGACATAGGTGATTCTCTTGTCTCAGCCTCCTGAGGAGCTGGGCCTACAGGCGCCCCCCACAGTACCTGGCTATTTTTTTTGTTGCAGTTTGGCCAGGGCAAGGTTTGAACCCGCCACCCTTGGTATATGGGGCTAGCACCCTACCCACTGAGCCACAGGTGCTGCCCCCGTTGATTTAAAAAAAAAATTTTTTTTTTTAATTTATCTGTATTCAGATTCAAACCCCCTGAGTCCTGGGGTGGTTGAGTCAAGTCTACCACACTTAGGCCTAACTCAAAATGAGATAACAAATGGCCCTGTTTCTTATTTTAATATTATAAAAACTCTATAGAGGTGCTATGAACTTCGGGTTTGTGTGTCCCCCCCAAACAAATTCATATGTTGAAGTTCCCCCGTAACCCTTGATGGGACAATATTGGGAGGTGGGGCCTTCAGTTGGGGAGAGGTTATAAGGGTAGAACCCACGACCCCATGAGATTATAAGAAGAGGAAGAAAGATCAGAATTCTCTCATTCTCTCTGCCATGTGAGGACAAAGCAAGGAGTCAGCCATCTGCTAGCCAGGAAGAGAGCTCTCACCAGGAACCAAGTCTGCCAGCACCTTGACCTTGGACTTCCCAGGCTCCAGAACTGTGGAAAATTAATCTGTAGAAAATTAATTCAGCCCCACAATCTGGTATATTTTGCTATAGTAACTTGAGAGGACTAAGACAGAGTTTAATCTCAAGGAGTGGGGTGCTGCTGTAACCAACACCTAAAAACAGAGGGACACAGCTTGGGAATTGGGTATTGGGTAGAAGGTGTAGGAATTTTGAGGAATATGCTAGAAATATAGGACTATACTCTCAATGTTACCCCTTAGTTGAAAAAGATACACTCCTATGTTCTTGTCTACCTCCTGCCTGACTATTCAGTTGACAGAGGTACATACACGGGGGAGTCGGTCTGGCTGGCCTCTGGGGTCTGCTGTCCATGCCGGGGTGGTGGTGGGATGTGGGACGGTGGTGCCTGTGACAGCTGTGAGTCTATGTCCGAGATGTCTAGGGTGGGAGAGAGCAATCTCATTGGCCACAGGTCCCCCTTCCTGCTGGACCCATTTCAGAGAGGGGCCAATTGAATCCCCTCTAAGCAAAGGGCCCCTAGACCAAAGTCAAAGGCTTGGTTAGAAAACTCGTCTTTGGGAGGCTTCAGCCCTGACCTGCTGTGTGGTCTTGGGCAAGTTCCTATCACTCTCTGTGCAAGGAGGTGGCCATCTGCAAGCCAAGAAAAGAGCCCAAACTGGGTTTATGGACTACTACTTGGTACTGCCTAACATGCCCCAATTTATCCCCTATTCAATTCAACCCTGAGCTGGGGCCTCCTCCTTGTGCCTCACCCTCCAGAAGGGAGCTGTCGCTGTCGCTGATAGCAGGTGGGATGTTCACCAGGAACTGCCCTTGATCCCTCAACACCAACAGAGTCAGCTTCCCTTCTGACTTCTCAATCAGTCGCCGGGTGTCACTCAGGGATAGATTCTCACTGGATACCCCATTGATCTGAGAAGGACCAGGAAGTTAGAAAGGAAGTAAGTTGATGAGAGATGAGGACACTCGAAACAGACAGCTTGGTTGGGGGGAGACTAGAAACACACAATTCCCAGGGGTTACTAAAAACTGACATTTCTTTTTTGCTTTTTTTGTAGAGACAGTGTCTCACTTTATTGCCCTCAGTAGAGTACCATGGGGTCACACAGCTCACAGAAATCTCCAACTCCTGGGCTTAGGCGATTCTCTTGCCTCAGCATCCTGAGAAGCTGGGACTACAGGCACCCGCCACAATGCCCGGCAATTTTTTTGTTACCGTTTGGCTGGGGCTGGATTTGAACCTGCCACCCTCAATATATGGGGCCAGAGCCCTACGCACTAAGCCATAGGTGCCGCCCACAAAACTGATACTTAAGCTAGAACTAGATTCCTGCTGTGAGTGGAGACCACACCAAGAACTGACTATCGGCTTGGTGCCTGTGGCTCAAATGGCTAAGGCGCCAGCCACATACACCTAAGGTGGTGGGTTCAAATCCAGCCCACCTGCCAAACAACAATGACGGCGGCAACCAAAAAATAGCCAGGTGTTGTGGCGGGCACCCTGTGGTCCCAGCTACTAGGGAGGCTGAGGCAGGCGACTCACTTGAGCCCTGGAGCTGGAGGTTGCTGTGAGCTGTGATGCCACGGCACTCGACCCAGGGGGACAGCTTGAGGCTCTGTCTCAAAAAAAGAGAACTGACTATCCACAGACTTCTAGAAATAGACAATTTTCTAAGCGGGGTAGGGAACAGAAGGGGAAAAAATTAAAAACATGTTGACTCTTCTTTGTCTCAAGAAGTGGAAATTTCTTAGGGGACATTAGGAACAGATTTGAGAGTAAAATTATAAATAATTCTTTCTTTTTTTTTGAGACAAGGTCTCACTATGTCGCCTTTGGTAGAATTATAAACAATTCTAATTGGGAAAGAGAGAGCGGCTAATTACAGGTGCTGGGAACAATCTCTAGGAGGGCCTAGAAACAGACATCTGAAGGTAGAGTAGGAACATACAATTCCTAGAAAGAACATAGTGTCTTCTCCACAAGAGCCAGGAATCCATTTGGGAAGGGAATAAGGGAATGTCTGGGGTTTTTTGTCTTTTGTTTGTTTGTTTGTTTTTGAGACAGAGTCTCACTATGTCACCCTCGGTCAAGTGCCATGGTGACACAGTTAGCAACAACCTCCAACTCTTGGGCTTAAGCGATTCTCTTG